ATAAAAAAAATATATATTATTATTTTAAAAACATTTTTAATTTTTATACATTTTGCAGCAGAATAAAAAATAACGTGTAATAATCTATTGAACCAAATTATAGATTTTAATGTTAAAGAATCCATTGATTATTCATATTAAGTGTCATAATAGTTCCATGAAAAATCTGAAAATTCGTTTAGATTCTGAGCTTGAATCACTATCGCTGTTAAAAGTACAAATGTACCGCACTTTCACCCGGTGAATATATGTAATAAACGATTACAGTTCTCGCAAATGCGGCATGCACCGCACCGAACGACCCCTTTTTATTCTGCGGCGAATGCAATCCGTTTCCATCGATTCGAATATTAGATATAACCACACTGGTGCAAGCGTGTGACCTGACTCACTAGCGTGCATTACGCGAATTCGCGGAATTATTCTTATCGGGACACGGAATACCCAAACGTAATACGTAATCGTTTTGCCGCGTCGAGCAGTTTTTTATCAATACATGCATCGTGATATGATGTAGGTTAATGGTCATGCGTGCAAAACGCCCGACAGGGACGATCGATTCCCCCTGTATTTTCATTCTTTTTCTTTCTTTCTTTTTTTTTTTTTTTTTTTTTTTTTCTCACACAAAACCTTTCCGTTTTGTCAGGACACCAATACACTATCTCTTGATATACGAGCCGCGATAGTACAACACTTCCTCGTATCGGTTTTTCTTCTGGAACGCCAGAGTTCTTTGTGGCGTCGCCGTCGCCGCCGTCATTGCGGCGACAACTCGGGCCCGTATGTGCCACGGCCATGTAAATGTGCATGCAATTATGCACGTAACCCCAGAAGTAGGTATAGAGGCATTACCTTGCACACACAAGGTGCAACACCGTCACGTATAATCGAAAGGCTTGGGAATTTATGATAACGCCAACATCACGGGTTTTATAACGTCGCTTCTCGTTTAAAAGATTGCAATGTGTTTAAAGCTACATCGACGTGTGCCCCGAAATTTAATATGCTTTGGTTTATCTTGGAAAAGCGTTTTTTTTTTCACACAGAAAAGTCACCGATTCAAATATGATAAAGAAAACCTAAAATCGAACAGTATACTTGATATCGTAGGAGAATCATAATAAAATAAACTGTAAATAATATAATTAATAATTATTACACAAAATTATCGTTATAAAATTGTTAAGAAAAATGATAATTATTAATTTTATCGTCCAAAAGTTATTACATTGTCGCACTAAATGGATGTAATGAGAGAGATAAAAGGTTTCTTTAAAGACAAAGTAAATGTTGCGATATTACTTGTTAGATTGTCACAAATATAAATTAAAATCAAAGCTTTAAAAGAGAGTAATTTCACGATCTACAAGCTTTTTCATGTCAATCAATAGCAAACGTGAAAAAAATTTTCATTTAAAAACTGTACCTTTTTTCATTACAGGATCAATTTAATCTTACTAATTGTAAGCTGAAATTGAATCGAATTTTATACGTAAAACGGAAAAAATGCAATATTAATTGAAAAAAGAAATCTAGAGAAGATAAATTCTAACTTATAGAAGACTCTAACGCGTAGAGATAAATCATCATCACCGAGTTACAAAAGGCTTTGTATGGACTCTGCAGTGGCACATTGCGCTAGATAATAGAAGAATGCGAGACAACAAAAGCTTTTTCTAACAACAATTTGAACATCTTTTCAGCGCATTGCTGTTTTTTTGAGGAAAATTGTTCCTCCTTCCTACTTTTCGTTCCCAGCGCAACGATGACCGAAGGAAACAAATAGCAGAAAGGTTAGCCTGACCCGGTATCGATTCGTACAGTCAGTCGTACCCAACCGTGCCAGTGGCCAAGGAGGTTTAAGCATCATTCACACGAAAGCGATGCATCTCGACTGTATTTCTCTCGTCTGTTTTATTCGCATTCTGCTCGTATTATATCCAATTACATCATACTACTGCCATTACAAGCCACCGCTTGCGTTCCGCGCTGGTTACGAGGTCAAGCCGCGTATAGGAATGAAAACATGTTATTAACTACATTTTCCGTGTGATATTCCACAAATCATCCTAATAATCAATAACGAACTTAGATGGAGTTTATACGAGAGACAAAACAAGGCACTTGTAATTTTACAAGCTTTGAGTCTAAGAAAACATAGAATTTGAATTCTTTTTATTAATGTAAAAAAATAATATATCATATTAAGTGATATATATTTTAAAAATCTAAATCAATCTTTTTTGCTTCCTCATAGAGCTTTGTTTATCAATATTTTTAAATCTTCATAGATTTTTCCCAAGGATTGGTGAATTATTGAGTTAAGATTTAAGTGAATTAAAATTTAGATTTGACATATTTAAAGAAAAAGAAAATTGACATATTCGAGAATGTTGGAGAATCAGAGATTTTGTGATATGTTTAAATAAAATATATTCATAAAATTAAAGATTATTATATATGCAAGAATATATATATATAATCGATCAAGTTTTATATTGACCAGAGAATTTTCACAGCTTGCAAGATTGATAACTCAAAGAATCTATAACTGTCCGAGAATTTCCAGATCTTAAAATTCACCTATTTTGCAACTCACAAATTCTAAGTATAATTTCATATATACCTATATTTATATATAAACTACAAATTCTAAAATAAAATGAGATTTATTGCGCTTCCCAAAGTCTCCATAATTTGTTTTATCCGTAACTATAAAGAACATTAAAGATTGATAGGAAAACTCAAAGTTTTGTTATATTCACGATCAGTAGTGCCGCATATAATTTTTTTCAGCATTCGTTATTTAACATTCTTCGGGTGAAATGCGATTCTCTTGCGGTTGCTACAATCGTCAGGTTTTATTTTAGAAAGTCATTGCATGTATTGCGCGCGCGAAATGCAAGTAAAGACTGTGTAATGAAAAATAAATAAATATCAAAATAAAAAGAAAATGTTAAAATGTAGTTTATGGATTAGGGATTTTACGGCGTCAGTACACTCTCGCGTGTACAGTTCCAGCGTCGTCGCATAAATTAATGTTATCTCGGGGGATTATATTGGGTAGAGTAGAACGCGCGATGGCATTGCCGCATGATGAAATTTGATGTATTTTTTTCTGATTAAGTATGTTTAGGGTTCGTGACTCACATAATCAATGTGTGTGAACGCGCTTGAATAAATAAAAAACCTTCCAATATAAGCAACCGCCGTTTTTAATAATCATCGTGACATATTTCAAAGTGCAAGTTTAATTCACTAGAGTTCAACATTTATGTAACATTGCACAAGAAAGCACTGAAATATATTTATCATATTTATATCTTATACATAAAAAGTAATTAATTTAACTTTTGTTAATAATTTACAAAATTTTGTTAATAATTTACGAAATTTTGTAAGTTGTAATTTTTTAAGTATAAACTTTTTATAATCTTTAATCTTTCTAAAACAATTATTTTATTTAACTATAGAAAATTATGCGATTATCGTGTGCATAAGTAACGTTTAATGTATTATATGCATCTTATTGTTAGTACAAGCAAATCGATAAAGAATCGACAGGTATGAATAGCATTGTATAAAATCACATAAAATTTCCGTGTCCTGAAAATCCGATCAAAACTTGCGGTTTGGCTGACCAACTTTTTCCATTCGTTTTTCTCTTGAGAATATTCGTGCTAGAGAAAGAGAGAGAGAGAGAAAGAAAAAGAGAGAGAAAGAGTTTTCGCCAGTTTCACCACTACACGTAATTGATTTGGAGTTTTCTCGATATGTACATTTGATAGAAATTCGCTCAAGAAAGCCGAGATCTAATTTTATCTTTCCGTCTCAAGTGCATAAAAAATAGTGTACATTGACAGTATCGAGTTATTTCACATGCGAATCTATATATATATATATAATGCAATTTTATTTATGTTAAAAACTACCAATGCATTTGTCAGGACAGACATTGTAAAATATGAAAAACGTAATAATAATAAATGATATCGTCAATTAAGCGATAACAACTTACCGATGCTGTTTTCCCATTTTTACTCGTGACTTTTAATAGCGACCCTTCGTACCCCTAAAACACAAAAAATATTATGTTATTAAAATATATTTATGTTAAAATACACTATTTATGGTAAAAAATTATGATACAATAAAATAAAAATTTGCTATAAACTGTAAAATATATACGCTTTGCTTTTCATCTTTAAATGATAAAATTTAATACAAAAACTGATTGTGTTTTTTAAGAAATTTGATATAAGTAACTTAGTCCATTAAAAAAAAAAACTTCATTTTTCATCTTTATTAAAGATTTCTAGAAAATCAACTTTTAGCAGTTCTGAAATTTTGTAGCTGTGATATCGTTCTCATATTGTCATCAATTTGAATTCGATGACATGATATAAGCGTGATGTACATCTGTAATAATTACCACGCCATTAATCACAGATCCATATTTCATGCGTTGTATATCATCATGCCTACTCTTATCTTGCACAAACGAAATTGAGTTTCTAACGAACGTGGAATCGATATCACGCATACGCACAATTCACATATAGCGCACGAAAATTTGACGCGCGTGCGTTAGATTGTTACACATACATGGAGAATTGAGCAAGATGATCGTCATTATTTCAGATCATTATACCGTGTATGTATGTAAACAGGTGCGAGCAAATATTGCCTGGAGCTAAACACGCATTTATAATGTCGGAAATTACTAAAGCGAGAGAAATTATAATCATGTGTGAAGCAGTTCATTATAAAAAATCAACTGTGTGTAGATCTTGAATCTTTTTTTTTTATCCTTTTATAAATTATGCTTGCATAAAATATGGCAAGACTGATCGTAACATTGACAATTTAGAGATTTAGAGTTACTTATAGCGGAGATATCTATTAATTTTCAAAACATTCAAAAATTTTTTTAATCTTACAAAATATTATCTCTTTCTAATACTTATAAATAACTATGTACGAGAGAAATGTATTTTTTATTTTGAAAAATATACAAGAGACTTGGTTAAAATGTAATCATCAAAGATCCATTAGCGATAGAATTTACGAAGACTATTAAAAATAGCAAAGCATCGAGTGAAAAGTAGGGCACAACACATTTACATATTTTAAATATTTGATTTAAATTCTAAGATACTAGCAAATTTCTCGACCATCGCTTAAATTATTAAGTGACCCACTGCAAACATGCTTTACCCCGTTTCACGTTGATGCAAGAAAAGCCAATTATTAATCGTATATGTAAAAATGTTTTTAATTTACTGCGAACTAAATAAACCTCGTTACTGCGCTATCGAGAATCTTGCTTCGTATATTACCGTGAAAGATAAAAAAATCCTTATAGTGAAAACATTTCCTTTATTTTTATAATAGTAATGCAAGTGGAACGCACGAGATGAGCACTCAATTACATGCGAGCGCTGTAACTCGGTGCTCATTACCAGAGTAGCAAACTGTCAATAATCGCGCGATCATGATGGAAGTGCTAATTAACGAAGCTGCAATTAGAGAATGCCGTAAGTCTCGAAATGTCTATTCGGCATACCGCAAAATATTTTTCGAGTTTAAAATTGGATCCACGAGCAGACTGCAAAAATATACTCTACTATCTCCCGCGATTTATAGAAGTATCATGACGCGCCAATGAATTGTAGCTATGTAGTCATAAAAATGATCTAAATTGCATATCTTTTGTTTAGATTTAACTAAATTTCTATTTCTCTCCCTCTCTCTTTTTAAATTTCAAATAAAATATTCTTTAAAGATATAATGTTCAAAAAAAAATTTCTGTAACGACAAAACTTTAGAAATTTTAATTAATTAGAATTTTGTAAGAGTATGTTTGACAATAAGTATGTATAACAATTTATTAATTGAAAAACTTTAGATATTTAATTAGATCGATTAGTGTAATTCTTCATTAACAATTCACAGATAAATTAATGATAAATTTTTATTTTGCCTGACATATCTTGCATTAGTTTAGATGAATCGGTATGCAGAATTTCCCAGGTATCTGTTACAACATTCTTGGCAACCGCCAACATCTTAATCTCGCATCATTAATCAATCTCTCTTAACTAGAAAATATATCATATTACCACTTAAATATTAATATCAACGGAAACAAACATTTCTAACACTTCAAAATTTAATGTTGCGCAAATATATAAAATCTTAATTACACAGAACAGCGAAATTAATATCTGTCTTCAGGACAAATTATTAAATCAATCAATACTCTTTATATAATTTTTCCCATTGAAAACATATACATATAATTAATGCATATAATGTTATAAATTTTAGTATTAAATTATCATTCCACTTCTAAACATTTATCTTAAATCCGTCCAATGTATAACCATTTCCAGGTATTCATTTCCAACATTTTTGACGCTTAGCTCGGCGCCCTGCACATTATTAATTAACTTCTCTTAACTATGAAATATTGCAGTCATTAAAAAGCTGGTCTCCTGGGCGGAGCATAATCGAGTTTTCACCATTCATATGTTGTGCTTGCCCGATGAAATGTGCAAATAACCTCCGCTTTTCCGAAAGTTTCACAATGGCACGGCGACGAGCGACTAATCCGCTCGGTTCTTCTTCTTCCCTTCTCCCCCCCCCCCCCCTCCCCAAGACATGCTGAAAATTCATCGTAAATTCACGTGGGAAACGGATCGCGCGACGCATTATGCGCCATGTTTAACGTATATTGCGATATTTCAAAGACGATTAATAATCGGATTTACGGCGGCGCGAATCAAGAGATTCGTAAGCGAAAATAACGCGCGTCCGCACCTCTCAAGGTTTATTGTCCCGCGGTACGTCGCCAGTTATGGGTTGGCGTATCGATGCCAAGAGAATTGCGTTCTCTCTTAATACGAGAAGTCGCGGCAATTTGCGTATATAAGATAACCGCCATCAATATATCACTCCTACACCGATCACTCCGTCGCCGATGGAAAAACGGGTTTTCGCGTTCTAGACTGCGTCTAGTAATCCGATTGAACTCTTGGCGTTTTAATAATGTCCTTCTCTTTTGCATAATATCATGTATATATGCAATAATTTTCTGTTTGTTTGCAAAATGAAAAGTTCTATTTGTATTGTCACAAGTAAAAAAGCAAATAAATGAAAAGAATATGTCGTAATGGTATGAGAAATTATATATAAATAAATTATTATTTCTTGCTGTATTGTAAACAGAATGCATTAGAAGTTGTATCCAAAATTTTATTTATTAAAATTATTCGTAACAGAAAATAAATAGTGCACAACTATTATAAATGACTAAATGTGAAAATATGGTACATTAAGTTTTTCTCTGGGATATATGCAAATAATAAAATAATATTTTTCATTTAATTTTAAGTAAATTTTGACTTTGACAGAATTTTAATGGAAGTAATTAAATTTGGGAAAGTATTAAAAAGCATTAATGTAAAATTTACGATAAGAAAACTTTATCTTTAAATTCATCAAAAGGATTATAGAGTTAACGGAAATCGGTTTAAAATAGCAACAATGTTTAATGAAATAAATTTGCATAATAATATATATATACGGCGTTATATATCACAGTATTATGCATTACATACATTAGTAATTTTATTTTTTTTTAGTTTTTATTTATTTATTTTATTTTATTTTTTTCAATTTTTACATATTATCTCTATATTACTGTAATTGTGTCTTAAAATTATTATTAATTTATTAAGATGTTATTTATGTTAATTTAATATACATACATATGTATATGCATGTAATTTTATCGCATACATGTATAAAAACATTAAAATAATTTTTATTCGATATATAGAAGGCTCTTCAACAATACAATTACTATATATTACATTTCTCTGTATAAAATAATTATTTAAAGTGCCTTGAAAGATTGTTACGTAAAAATAAAAAGACGCTCTGACGTCTCTATGTATACTTTGTTCGCGGAGCTTACAGTACCGACAGAAATGTAAGCATACGCATGCCGCTAATCCTAATCCTTTTGAGCAAACTGCTCATGACAATATCATGAATATACAAAACAAGGACGAAGTAAAACGAGCGCAAAAAAGATGCGCCGCGTTGCGCCATCCTTTTCGCCAGCGAATAATGATACGCTCGAGAGAATCTCCCGCATTTAACTTTCGAGGGAGATTTCCAAATGGAGCGAGAACAATTTCCCCGTTTTCCGCCTGTCTTTCCTTCTGCCTGTCTTTCTTTAAATGACCGTGGTTTCTATCCTTTCTAATTGTTGTCGGCTTAAACTGCGATTGAATTTCGTTCTGGACGTATACGAATCATATTTAAATTTGCAGCGAAGTCTTCGAGAAATTTCGGCAGACTCGTTGTTAAAAAAATCATTTCAATAATTTTATTTAGTACGGTAATAAAAATTTTAAATAATGAGATATAAATGGAAAAAGAGTATTAATTTAGTAATTAAAATATTAGCAATTAGATATATGATGAACTTTATTTTTTATATAATTCCTAATATTTTTCTTTTCGTTTAGTATATTTTTTTATTTTTTTTTTACGCTTTTGAGTTTAGAGAATCAAAATATGAATGCAAAAATTATCACGGAAATTAAAAATAATGAACGTTTTTAGATTATAGGATACGAAGACCACATCAGATCTCATGTTATCGATTTTTCGTCTCCATTGATGGAGTTCGAAACGCAAACTCGTAATTGGCACCGACATAATTAACCCTCTAGACAAACCAACCTAGGATCCCAAGCCGTGCAAATATGACGTTATAGAGAAGTACCATCTCCCTCACGACGGGCGGTCGGCATAGACGAGCATGATTCATAAGGGGAATATTCCCCTTGTGAATACAGTTCGAACGCTTCAGTCATAACATTGCATTTCGCGCGATGCCGCGAGAATGTAGATGAATTTATTGAACCTCAATATAACGAATTAAACGCAACAGCGAAGCGCCAGGCGTGAGGTACGGAAATAATTGATACGAAAACGATAAAAGCAAAACATTCCTCAAATTGCGCATTTTCTAGAAAAAAAGATAATAAATATATAAAAATATAATCGATTATATGATATAATGTACATGTGTTTCTGAATCTCAATATCTTCGAATATTCAGATTTATACGTATAAATTTATGAAATGTAATATAGAATTAAATTAATTATAAAATATATAACTACGATTAAATAATTCAATTGCAAAATTAATTAAAAAATGTATTTTTATTAACAAATATAATATCGTATAGTAGTTTAGATTGTAAAAAGTCAAGACACATAAAATTCAAACGTTTAAATTTTTAAAATTGAAATATCAATTCGAATCTTTGAGCTCCATTTCCGACCGTCCCGTTTTTCAAATATTATGCGCTCGCGATAGAATATTAATGTGCTTTGAACTTTAAGTCTGTCAATGTCATTTACATTTACGGTTAGGTCCTCGCGTATCGGCATCGGAATATCTGGTTTCTCAAATCTTGAATCCTCGTGCTCTACCCTTTGATCTCAACATCGCAGTAACGCGTATATATATAAAATAAAGCGAATGGAGAAAGCAAATTTTCAGAGACTCACCTCGTACGCTCTGAAGAGTAGATAGAGCTCCCTCGGCTTGGTGTCCATCGGCAAGCCGCTCACGAACAAGGTGCGCACCTGAAACAGGAGAGAAAGAAAATGATAATTGAGTTAATTAACCTAATTGCGGATCTAAAAGGAAAGGAGAGCGGCCGAGAAAGAGAGAGAGAGAGAGAAAGAAGACGAACGAGGAGACGTATATCGGGATGACTCGGAGACAAGGAAGTCGACTTTCTCGATTTGACTCCTGCCCTCGTCTATCCGACAAATCGATGGCTAATTGCAGAATCAATGTAAGATACCTGGAGACTACAAGAAGTCGGTCCCCCTCATTCGTCTTCCTTTTTAATTTCGCCATTAATTTGGCAATTTACAGCGCCGAGCCCAATTAATTATGACTCAACCCTCGATAAGATCTTCGGAAGTGATTCCCGAAGATATTTCTCTTCCCTAATATCGATCATCCTTTCCGGCCATTCGTTAACATCGGCGTGTTTGAATTAATGCAATATTGTTTCGCTTACAACGGAGAATGCAAATCGACTTTCCGTCATTGGGAACAATGCAGCGAGAAAGGAGACTGATTCGACGTGGCTTTCGCTAGTAAAGTTCAACGCATTGATACGTAGATAATTGCTGAAGTCAAGTGTCCTCATTTCAGAAGAATGCTAATAGCTAATAATTCATCCATCATGTTGAAAGTATGCATATTTTTCATAGTATTAAAAAAATTAAGTGTAGCAATTGTGTGTGTTTATATAAATTCTAGTATTATTCTCAACGCTAATCAATTTTAAACTTTATATTCAATTCAAATCTATATGTAAAGCATTATCTATATAATAATATTAAATTATAATGTCAAATATTAATATTAAAATATGTTGAGATAATTAGACAAAATTTTTATGAAAAATGAATTTTTCAATAGAAAAGTATTACATTAAGTAATCTTCAAAAGAAAATCAATCGATATATTCAAGAAAACAAGTTTATTGTAAAAACGCACAAGTAGATCCTTCTTCTCTTCTTAATTATTGATCAATTTTATTTAAATATTCACGAATTAATAGCAGGTATAGCGTCTACTGTCACTAGCAAACTTTGTGCAATATTGATAAAAACTTGGTCGCGTGGAGATGCTAAAGCGTTAAAGCAAGACACGTAACCGCAACCGCGTCGCAGGTCGGATCGTCTACTAATGGATGAGACTAAGAGAGTAACCGGTAAAGTTTCGCTGGCCAAGTTACGTGAACGTCTTACATCGCAGGGCCTTAAGTAATTGCTGCGGCTACGTACATGCGCTCGTACAACATGCGCTGCGCATGCATCGCAAGGCGTAGAATATACGCAAGTAAGTGCGAGCGGTAAATGCGTCTCGCCACCTAACTTATAATGATCTCTAGAGCGGAGCATCAAATTGCCGCAATGAGGTTGCAGGAATTAATGAAGTTAAGAAACTCCGAGACGGTGATAAAAATATGGCGCACACGCGCGAATCTAATTACTGACAAGTCTCGGCCTGTTGTTCGTGTAAATTTTGTAAAAACGCCTTCGATTGACACGCTATCGATCAAACGACTTATTATAATAAAACCGCAAAAATTGGAATTGAATAAGACCATAACTAATCAGAATTATCATAAACTCGGATTACATGAAACTTAAGAAATAATAGAGATTAAAAATAATGCAAATTGAAATTGAGTTCAACACGTGTTTATCTTGGTGACTGTATACTTACATCATTCAAATGTGTGTATAAGATTCCTTAGGAAGAACAAAAAAAACTCCTTTACTTTGAAGAAGCTATCAATAGTTTCTCTTTTAACTCTTTCTGATTATAAATTAAACTCTGTAAACTGTACAAAACTTTGAATTATTGAGACGTTACTATACTTGTAGAGGTATCGAGCTGACCTGATTGAAAAGGAAGGAATGCAAGTTGATTGAAATAAGAAAGGAATGCACATTATTCTCTTTCATAACTAACTGATTAGATCGCAGAATAGATTTCCATATGCTCGCGCGAAGCTAAGACCAATCCGGTTAAAACAGTTTTTAAATACTTTAATAACAATTATGTAGAGAGAATGTAGTAAAATCTACGAAAGCAATATAATCGTTCCATACATACAAAAACATATTCCTTTATCGATAAATCAGATTGCGCCTACTGCGATCTCGGAAAAAATTTGCAGCGATAAAAATGCAAAAACAGATTTAGAAAAATTTAATCTATCTTGTTTTAAAAGTTTTACGAAACCAAAGATTTAAAAAATTTAACATTTTGAATATTTCAAATATATTATTCCAATTTTTATAAGCAACTTAATCAGCTTTATTATAATCTTGATAGACAATAATTAAATATGTACAATTATTCTAAATATAAGGTATATCTCCCGTTCACTCTTAATCGGCGTAATATTTTCAATTGAAACGATGACCTCTATACGTCATATTACGTATATTTCTTCTCTTGAACAACATAGCGAAATCGTATTACTGTTTCATGTGCTTATGAGTATATATTACTCGTTCGTTACGCTAATTAAACACAGCGCACATTAAAATCAGATCTTTATCTAAAAAATTGTCGGTTTCCTATTTTTCTTCCTCGCTTCTTTTCCGCATTGTAAATTTCGAGCGCATTCGCAATCTTAGCCGAGTTTTGTCAGGCGTAGCTTCTAAACGACAATAATTGATCATAGACAAGCGAAGTCCACTCCCAGCACGCTTGCAACTGACCGTGTCGCTAGTTCTCATTGTGTTTCATCTTTAAAACTATGCCGCGCCGCCACTTGCACATCCGCTGGCGACACTCCTCGTCCCATATTTGTGTTCCCCTTTTAGCGACCGTTGTATTTAGAAATAATTTTGTATACCAGCGCGCATATGCGCGATAAATATATAGTTTTCCCGTTTTTTTTTTTTTTTATTTTACTTTCTTTAGAAATTCTCTCTTTATATAAAACCATAAATTATAAATTAATAGATTCATTCTCAACAAGAGTTTCATTAAATGTAATATTTTTTCGCGATGTTTTAATTCAAATATGTGTCTTTAATATTTAAGTGTTAAAATTTCAACATAATAAATTCTAATTAATTCTAATTAAAATAAAGAATAGCTTTTTATCTTTACATTTGCCTGAAAGCTGATAAATTTCACTAGTGTTTTTTTTTTTTATTAATTTACTGTATATAGAAATTCTCTCTTTATATAAAACCATAAATTATAAATTAATAGATTCATTCTCAACAAGAGTTTCATTAAATGTAATATTTTTTCGCGATGTTTTAATTCAAATATGTGTCTTTAATATTTAAGTGTTAAAATTTCAACATAATAAATTCTAATTAATTCTAATTAAAATAAAGAATAGCTTTTTATCTTTACATTTGCCTGAAAGCTGATAAATTTCACTAGTTCCTCAATAATTCATAGCTGAAAAACTATTTAGATGTAAATTAATTTCTAGTATGATAAAAATAGTTTTAATGACAACAGATTAATCACATGCTTGGCTCATTTCAAGATCGCACGTGGCAGAAGGAAGACAGTGATTCGTTACCGTCCCCTCGTTAATTTCCGGCAGGAAGCATAGAGGACAGAAAAGGGGCAAGAGCATGCAAGAAAAAATATCTATATTCTTGAATTGATTTATTTCAGGCAACCATAGCTGTCATGTTAAATTGTCTCCTTAGTAATAAATCAAATAATTTTCTTATTTTAAATCAGTTAATACTATGAATAGCCTCTTTAAAATCTTTACATGTTATACGTAATAAGTAAAACGTCATATTTACGTTTCTGATTTTAAGTCAGTTAATATTATAAATAATCTTTACATCTTATACGCGGTAAATAAAATATCATATTCGCGTTTTAATAAATTATATTACCTTATATAAATCGTATGCAAAAATGTAAAAACTTCTTACAAATCATTGTAGATAAACATATTAGAATTACGACAAAAATTTGTATTACAAGTTTTGATTTCTTGTAAAATATCATCATATCATTCATCTATTTCAACACAAAAAACATCTATTTTACAATTATTTTTATAAATTTTATAATTATGTAATCTTTCTTTTTTAAAGAGTATAAGGATTAATTTCATTGAGACATTTAAAATTTTTTTTATTTTACTTCGCTTGTTGCATTTTTTGTTTTTACCGACGTAACAGTAAACTATTTGTTTTTTATATCGACGGTTGCCATTTTGATCCTGTTGGGAATTTAGAAAAAATATCAATTCGCGATAGTGTAAATTGAACATTGCTTCGAACGTGTTGTATTATTTATTACCATCCCGGTGAATGTACGCACATGCACGCGGGAGACCACCGTCTAGCTCTAAGCTCATTGCCTCTCGATAACGTGTTGGCAACGTTGGTCAAACGCAGTAGCTGCCGCGGGTTTGATTAATTTTGAATCAGAATTTACAGGTAATTCGAGAGCACGCCGAGAGGAATAATTTGTAAAACGCACACTTCGCCGGGTTTCCGAATGGGAACGCGCGGTTACAAACATATCTCTTTACAGACAGACGGAGCAAAGCCGCGCGTGAGATTTATTCAATTCAATAAAGTTCGATTGTGCACGTATAAACACAATCACGCTTACGTATGGGTATATTAATGCAGCCAGTACGCGAATGCGAATGTAAACGCTCGCAAGTGTCGGAAAACAGTAATGGAAGACTGTTGCGGAAAATAGTGATGAAATAAAATCCTGCACGCAGTTTTCCGATACAAATTATTTTACTTTTTTATACCGTCAACGTTGTCATTTTGAAAACAACAGGGAAATCATTAAAAAAAATATTTAATGCACTGCTTACAGCGGATCGAGAATGCAAAAATACTAAATCAAATTAACGCTAGCGAATAGCAAACGTTTTTCAGCTATATGCATCGTTTAAAAATGAGCTTTTTTTATGCGTAGATAGTATAAAAGAGAAAAATAATTTTGTGTATGAATAGCAAAAAATGTGGATATAATAAATAAAATATTTTAAAATTAACAAAATCTATCTTAACATTCTCTTAACACATTATTTATA